CTCAGGGATCTCATAGCAGAAATAAGACAGAACATTAATGATTCAGAAATAAATAAATTGGCTTTCAGGTGGCCACTGGCTCCTTAGCCATAAGCATAGTTCAGCCTGTCAAACCAGTCTGTAAGGAGAGTTGTGCAGCTTTCATGGTTTGGGTGGAGGTAAGAGATAGTTTTCCCATATCCTGAAGCCATGTCTGTGGTTGCCCATTTAGATTAACACACCAGTAGGAGAAGAACACCAACCTCATTCCCAGTCAATTAATAGCATCACAGAACATTGGACCATTAATCCAGGGACATTTTATTAAGCATGTAATATGTGCCAGGCATTGGGTCATGGGTTGCTCATGCATTGAATGCTCACCAGGTCAAGTACTGTGGTTGGCAGTAATGAATTAGATACAAAGTTGCCCTTGAGAGGTTGTTGACCTTGTCTCTAGAATGTGTCTGTAAGAAAACATCGCAGGGAATTTGGATATTTAGATTGGGGTTGATCTCTTCAGATGGGTGAAGTGAAAATGCTAGTCTATCTTGAAATCACCTGAAGTGGTGCTGTGATGGTGATTTATTGCTGTGTAATACATTGTGACCTACGTCACAGAGCTTTACCACAAAATAGAAAATATTTGAAGGAGAATTAAAATTGGCCTTCTTCGTCTGCATTTTCTTCGTCTGCATTTTCTTCGTTTAGACCTAACTGTAAGATGCGCTTTGCTTTAAGCAGGAGTGTGTCCTTTCTGTGTCTGTAGAATGTCTACCCTGTAAGGGTCTTCCCTTCATATTTTCCCAGGAGTTTTGTGAGATAACCGAGGAAAGAAAGGCTGAAATAGAAAGCATTTTTTAAAACTTGCCAGGAATGAAAGCATTTAGAGCACACATATACTGCCTTCTCACTAGACCAGAAATGCAAGTTTAGGCATTTTAGAGAGTCCAAAATTGTAGACAAAACCGCAGGCATTTGACTGAGGTAGGAATAAAAATTTAATCTGCAGTTCCCAAAGGCTATGTGGCCTCTTTCAGACCAGTAAGGCTGAGGAATCTTTTGCAAAGCAGGGATGTGATCGGTTAGTAATGCTCTGGAAAAGAAGGTCTGTTCTTTCTCTCTCTTGATTTGGCCCCTCTTTGGGCCCCCTGTATCTTGTGTTGAGATGGGAAAATAAACGTTTCACACTCAGTTGACGGGTGTACTTTGCTCTCCTGGGAAGTTGCCTGGAGAGCCTTGATTTAATAGCTGTTTTTTTGGCCGACGTGTGCATATTTGTGTTTTTTTGGTGTACTCATTCAGATGCCAGGAGGTAGAAAGGAAGTGACTGAACTAGCTCGGTGTCTTCTCGCTTTGGGGCAGTGGGAGTGTTTATCAGAGAACTTTGGATAGAAGTGAAAAGTCAGTATTTATGCTGACAATGTTTTTACTATGGTTTTTCCTGACTGGTTTTTAGTATTTTTGCAAAGGTTTATGCCTCTGTGGTTTTATTTAAATATTTGAAGGTGCTACCTCTCTAGGTTTGGTCCTGCTTATAGCTTTAAAAGAAGTAATTCTGAGGCTACCATTATAGCTTACCTTCAACATAACCAAAAATGCCCAGCAATGATCATAATCAAACATGATTATTATAACTTTAAAAGCAGCTTTCTAGAAAGGAGGCTATGCGCACCCCTCATCTTTAAGGTTGGTACTTTATTTCTCAGAAGTTGGGCCCATTCTGGGTGTGATCTGCTTGTCTTCTCCCCAGTGTTGTGAGATCTGCTGGCTGACAGGATTCTTCACCGTCATGGTTTTCGTTTCATTGGGCACCCTGTGTTGTTCGGTTTGCTTTTTCATGTTTTCTCAATGAGCTTATTAACTTCCTAAGTAAAAGGACACTGCCCTCCTTGTTTGCCTTTGTCCCTGTCCCTCTCTTTCCCCCAACTTCTCCTGGAGCCTGCAAGCCTGAGGGCTGCCTGCTGGAGGGGACATGGCGGGAAGGGGATTGAGACCTGCTCAGGTAGAATCCAGGGAGGAATCACACTTGGCCTAGTCAAAGGATAAATAGGGCAGAGGTCAAGAGAGACACAGTGAACATCACTTTTGTAATTCTGGAGGGGCAGTCAGAGGAGCCAAAACCAACACGAAAGGTTCCCAAGCTGTACCTCCACTTGGCCCTGCCTCAGATGAGGTGCCCCCGGCAGTGACACCTGTCCATGACGCCCCCAGCCATGACCATTGCTCCCACCTGCAGCTGTGCTCCCCAAGGCTGCCCATCTCAGAGCAGTTCCCTTTCCTCACCACCTCCAACTGGGATTTGAAGTTTACGTTTTTAGTTTCTACATTAGGGTTTCTCCATCACCCCTTGCCAGGTTTGGTGATTCACCAGAAGGGCTCACAGGACCCAGCTATACAATGGAGTCGTGCTATAATTTATTATAGCAAAAGGGTAAAAGCAAAACCAGCAAAGGCAAAAAGAATGTGGAGTGAAGGTGAGAGGAGACTAGGCAGGAACTTCTAAGAGCATCTCCCAGTAGAGTCCCAAAGGACACACTTTATTCCCCCCAGCAACAGTCTGTGGCAACGCGTGTGAAATACTGTCTGTTGGGAGGTCATGAGAAACTCAGGGCCCATGTTCTTTGGGGCTGGTCATGACTGTCCTGTTCCAAAGATCCATACTCGGGGCAGGCAGGCAGGCACGCAGGTGTTCAGCATGAACTGCCTTGTTTGTACAACCCAGTTTAGACACAGTGAGGCATACTTATCAGGGAATAGCAGGAACCCTCCCGAAATCTTCAGTTCGCGATGCCAACCAAGGGCCACCCATGCAAGCACGCCTTTTTCAGAGGATAGCAGTCTCAGGCCTCCTGTGTTGTCTTTTCTGCAGTTTCTCCATTTGCTCTTGCACATTTACTTTGAATTTTTTGACTTGCAGGTTCAAGTTTCCTTCACATGATTTGAGTTAATGGTTAGGTGGGCCTTGGTCTATTGTCACTTAGGGAGAAACCTTGGCCTGTACCAATGGGTGTTTGCATCTGGGCATTGTTTTGACTGCTCTCTGCCTGTAGCTTGTCACATTTTTCTAATGACAGGCAGGTTTGCTGTTTGCCTTTGTACTTTTATCAAGATAATTCATGCCCTTCTTCCCCTCTGGGTGCCAGACTTTTCAGTCCTGATGCTGCCTACTGGAACCCACTGTGTGCAGTGTTCTCAGAGAAGCCTTAAGTGTGGTTGTTAATGAACTTGCACTTAAAACCTGTCTTACCATTTCGAAAACTGTCCTTACAAATGTTGCTTTGGGATTTGAACCTCTTCACCTTTAGGTTGTGTTCTTTTCTGTTTCTTTTCTTTATTGGTTTTCTGTTTTGAGTTTTAATTGCCTGACTTCAATCACGAACATGGTAGGGGACCAGATTTTACTGTCATCTTCTTGTTTTTCTGGGCAGGTTCATTCCAGATAACCTGCCTCTTTCCTGCACTACTGAGGTGCCATAGAGGTGCCAAAGCAGTGGTTCTGCAGGGGCTTCTCAGATACCCTGAAGGGCATCTCAGCTGTGCTGGCCTCTAGCATAGTTTATCTCTGTATTAGGCCACAGGCGTCCTCGAGCTTCCAGATTAAACCAATTCACTTAAACTTGCATGAAAGGTGAGCCAGTAGTCTGTTTTTAGCCACATTACCTATTCCATGGTTCTTGTTGCAGCTATTGCCAAACTGTGATGAAACAGGGATTGACTTGTCACTGTCAATCATGTGGCTAAACTTACTAAGCTGGCTATACATGAACTCGGGCAGCACCATTAAACAAACCCCACACCTCAGGGTCTCTACCTCAGTCTGGGTGGCCTGTGAAGGGCGTTACCGTCCTGCATTCTGAATTGACCTGAATTCAGGGAGTGCTGATTAGAAAATGGGAGACATGAATAATTGTCTTTTTGGTCAAGATTTGAGGTCGAGGAGAACATTTATGTATGTAGTGAACTCAATCTAGTTCTCCACCTATATGCAGGCAGAAAAGTGTGCAAATACGGCATTCATTGTTATTTTTACCTGTGGTATCTATAGTGTTGTGTCTACTTGCCTTTTTAAATTTTTCTTTATTGTGGCAAAATATGTATAACATAAAATTTGCCATAAAATTTTAACAATTCTTAAGTATATGAATCAATGCCTGAGTCTTGTCACTAAATAGTGCTTGGGGATAGGGGTCTTTGCCACAATTATTAAAGACTTGTTGATTTAAGGCCTGCAGAAGAAGGGTCAGTGCTCATAGCTCAGTGGTTAGGGCACCAGCCACACGCACTGGGGCTGGCGGGTTTGAACCTGGCCAGGCAAAAAAAAAAAAAAAAAAATAGCCGGGCATTGTGGAGGATGCCTGTACTTCCAGCTATTGGGAGGCTAAGGCAAGAGAATTACTTAAGCCCAAGAGTTTGAGGTTGCTGTGAGCTGTGTCTACCAAGGGCGATATACTGAGACTCTGTCTCAAAAAAAAAGGGGGGGGGGCTGCAAAAAAAAGGGCTGGGGGCTGAGGTGCATGGGCTGCTCCAGCTCTACAGAGAAAAGGATGGTCATTGTGTGGGTGCTGTGAGTGGACTGTTGAGTGTGGGAATGTGGCTAGTGCACAGTGAGGGACTGAATTTCTAATTTTCCTTAGTTCCATAGCCACATGTAGCGAGTGGCTCCCCTATTGGGCACAGTGTTAGGCTCTGGGCGGGGAAGGGGTTTAGAGCGTGGCCTTCAGAATCTTGATTCAAATTCTAGCTCTGCATCGTGTTGCCTGACTGCGGGGATGCCTCTTAACCTCATGAGGCTGTTTTGAAGAATTTGTTAGATTTCATGTAAGGGGGTTAGAATAGTAGAACAATGCCTGGAGAGGAATGTGTGCTTAGTTAATATTGGCTTGTTATTATGTTCATTCAGTATTTTGAGTAGCATGATGGGAGAAGTCACGTGGGGAATGAGATTCTACTTTTTCTTTTCTTTTAAACCTTTTATATTTTCTTTCTTTTGAAAATAAATTGTTCTTCTCTTGCTTCAGGTTGCTGCAGCAGCTGGCCACACGGTAGTGCTAGTAGACCAAACAGACGACATCCTGGCAAAATCCAAAAAGGGAATCGAGGAAAGCCTTAGGAAGGTGTCAAAGAAGAAGTTTGCAGAAAACCCTCAGGTGATTTCTGGTTACTGCCTTTAGACGAGGCCTCTGTTTCCCATTTGGAGGTGGGAGGGCTTCTGGCTTTTGCTTTCCTTCTTTCTTTGTTTTCCCTCTCCTCCTTGTTTGTTTGTGTAAAACTCATTTCCCCATAACTTTAAGCCAATATACTGACATCACTAAACGTTTGTGGGGGGTGATGTGTAAGTGAAAGTAAATAACCATGTTATTCTGTAGGGTTCTCAAGGTTGAGGAGAACGTTTCTTCAGGTGGTAAACTAGTTCTAGTAGAACACTGAGAATTGGGAATTGAGGAATCCTTGTTTTGCTAAAAGGTTGAAAGAGGAAGAAAGGGGAAGATAATTTTTGTACTTGTGAGTTAAAAAGAGAATATTAACTTGGTATTTAGGTAGAAGCTTGGATGCTTGGATAATAACTTATTCCCATTTGTGATCAACTAGAGGGGAGAATATACATTGAATCATTCTCACTTTCCAGGAGCAGAAGAGAGAGAAGATTCTCAGGAGATTGAGAACGCTGGTCTACCAACTTTCTCATGGGACCTTGCCACTTTTCCAGTATACTTTGACTTAGGAGTTTGCATTTAATTAGAAATACTGCACAAGTTACCCAACCAAACTTTTTTTTTTTTTTTTAGAGACAGAGTCTCACTTTGTCACCCTTGGTAGAGTGCTGTGGCATCACAGCTCCCAACAACCTCCAGCTCCTGGGCTTGGGCGATTCTCTTGCCTCAGCCTCCCGAGTACCTGGGACCACAGGCACCCATCACAAGGGCTGGCTGCTTTTTGTTGCAGTTTGTACAGGGCCGGGTTTGAACCTGCCACCCTCGGTATATGGGGCCGATGCCCTACTCACTGAACCACAGGTGCGGGCCCTACCCAACCAAACTTTTTTTTCCTTTTGTCACCTGTTTTCTTGGGGCCTGGATGGATTTTCTCTCTGTATGCAGAGAATTGTGTAAATAGGGCTTTTGTGGTTATTTTTTTACCTGTGGTATCCACCGTGGTATGTCTAATTGCCTTTTAAAAATTTTTATTGTAGTAAAATATATGTAACGTAAATTTGCCATGTTAACCATCTTAACCAAGGGCATTAATTACATTCACACATTTCATATATGTGGAACTATACAATATTTACTCTTCTGCGTCCGACTTGTCACCTTGTGTAAAGTTTTCAGAGTTCTTCATGGGTCCCAATTTCATTTCTTTTTATGGATAAATAGTATTCCTTTACACATATGTACCACGTTTCCTTCATCCATTCATTTATTGATGGAATTGAGTCATTTTCATCTTGCTAATAACGTATAAGGATCATTTGTAACTGTTAGTTTGAATCTCTGTTTTCAGTGCTTTGGAGTATATACTTAGAAGAGGAATTGGCGGGTTGTGTGGACATCCTATGTTTACCTTTTTGAGGTACCAACAACCTGTTTTCCACAGTGACCATATCATTTTACATTCTCACCAGTAGCGGGTTATAATTTCTCCATATCCTGAACAACATTTGCCATTTTCTGGTTTTTTTATTTTTCACTGTAGCCATCTTAGGTGTAAGGTGGCATTTCATTGTGGTTTTGACTAGGATTTTCCCTAATGTCTACTGACCTTTTAAAAACCAGAAGGGTGGGAGTGGAGATAATTCTATCTTCTCCTTGATGAACTACAAAGAATAAATCTCAAGATGAATATTAAGATCTCTTTCACTTGTCCCTTGTGTTCTTAATCATAGGGTGGGGATCCCATATAGGGGGTGTTAAAGAGGAGGGTCCAGGTGGACGGGGTTATAAGAGCCCTGGCCTGAGCCTTGGAGTGAAGGACAGAGAGAGTCTGAACCCACATAACCTTCATTTTCCCCTGTTTACTCTGTAGAATTTCAGCGGATTGTCTCCCTGGCTCTGAGCCACACCCTGAGGGTAAAAAGAGAGGCCTAAATGCAAATTGCTCAACTCCCGACTAGCAGCTCCTGAGAAGTCTGGTCTCCTGCTGTCTCTCTCCCCTGCCAGGCCACTGTGGCAGAGGGAGGGGTCAGCTTTGCCTTGGCTGGGTGACCCACTGTATTTATCTAGCTCTGTGCTGACCTGTACAAGAGTCCCAAGTGGCAGTTGAGTGCTTGAAATGTGGCTACTCTTAATAGCAGTGCTCTGAGTGTGAAATAGACTTCAGATTTTAAAGGCTGCATAGAAAAGGAACATAAAACATCTCAGTATTTTTTAATATCGATTACATGTTGAAGTGATAGTATCTTACATATATTGGGTTAAATAAATAAATTAATTTCACCTGTCAGTGTCTTTGCTTTTTTTAATGTAGGTGATAGAAAATTTAAAATTAGCTATAATCTCACGTTATATTTCCATTTGATAGCTCAGATCTAGTGCCCAGTTATTTATTCCATGCTTTTGCAGATTAAGAACTATTTTCATACCCTGTGGACAAATTACCTCTTGAAATAAAATGGCAGCTTATGGAGACACCATCTCCGTTTCTGCCCTAATTGAGGTCTGTTTGTGGAGACCTGGAGTCATAGGAGGAAAACAAAGAAAAATGAAAACTGCAGCCTCTTCGAGAGCAGAGGCCGTGTCTAGCTTGTTTTTCAAACGCCTGCTATTCAGAGTAGCCACATTTCAAGAGCTCAACTGCCACTTGGGACTCTTGTACAGGTCAGCACAGAGCTAGATAAATACAGTGGGTCAGGCAGCCAAGGTGAAGCTGACCCCTCCCTCTGCCACAGTGGCCTGGCAGGGGAGAGAGACAGCAGGAGACCAGACTCCTCAGGAGCTGCTACTTGAGAGTTGAGCAATATTTGTAGTTGAGGTGCTGGCACATAAGTGATTATTATTTGGGCAGTGACTTCTAAGTTCAGCTTTCTGACCCCAGCTCTTGCCATACTCAGCTAGTCTCCGCCACCTCTTAGAGAGGACTAGGCAGCACCACCTCTAAGACTAACATATGGTGCTAAGCTAATCTCCTACGATTTTGTTGAAGGACAAACTATAGGGTTCATGGATATTCATGGGCTCCAAAACAGGTGCTGTGAACAGACAGTTTAGTAACCCAAGCAGAGCTAGCTAAGAATGTGAAAGATCACACAGTAGGGATTGTTCCCAGGCCGACTCTTGCTGTGGCGTCTAGAGGCAGACTGAGATGCCATCGTCCCTAAGCAGAAATGTAGGGAGTTTTGTTTCTCAGAACCTGAGGGTTCGTTCAAGTGTATCCGGTGTGCTGGTCTCTCCTGGTCCTCCTCTTTCCTTCTGCCTTAACAGTAAAACACACCCTGTTTCTGGGGAACTGAATAAATGTTCTTTTCTCCTTCCTCCCGATGTATTAGGCTGGTGATGAATTTGTGGAGAAGACCCTGAGTAGCATCTCAACCAGCACAGACGCAGCTGCCGTAGTCCACAGCACAGACCTGGTGGTAGAGGCTATCGTAGAGAATCTGAAGATGAAGAATGAGCTCTTCAAAAGGCTGGACAAGTTTGCTGCTGAGTATGTGACCCCTGGACATCCTTGTCAGGTTCTGAGGGCTCCCTCCTCGGGCTTTGCGCTTTCCTCTTTGTTTATTGCCTTTTTCCAGGACGGAACCTTCTGACCAAATCCATCCACCTCTCCTATGGCTCCACTGCTGGAAATCCAGCAGAGCCAGGACTATGGCTTTTGTTCTCCATTCTCCCATTCCCAGTTTGCTCCCTGAGGCTTGACCTGCCCCAAATGAAGGTGAAGTACCCAAGGTAAAATGGAGGAGTCCATCCAGGGACAGGCTTGTTTCTAGCAGCATGTTGCTCTTGGTCCTCCTGTGCCCGAAAATGGAGGAGGCCTGGGTATGTACTTGAACGTCTGCAGAGAAACCTCAGAGCAATTTCTCATTTCCCCCAATTTGGGGTGAAGAAAACAGAATAAGTTAGTTGAAGAGAATGCCTCACTGTTTATACACAGTTCTCGAGAACTGTCCTCTTTTGAGCTTCTCTGGGTTCAGTCAAAACAGTCTTAGGAGGATTAATTAAAGGAGCATTGAATTCTTACCAGGATTCTCATCAAAAGGTGGCAGCAGAGAGTATAGGGCGCCCAGAGCACGCTCTTCCTGCACATCCACAGCTTGTGCTCACGTGATGCTGTACCTCCCCTCAGAATCCAGAGCCTTCCACTGTTGGCTTTTGGCAACTGTGACATCTGATTGATTCATGCTCTTTCTGTGACTTGCTTGGCCATACCCTTCTTGGTTGGAACTGAATGACAGAATAAGATTATATGACAAAAGTTAATTCTCAGGGAGCCATCATTGAGTTGTGGCTAAAAAGAGACACTTGCATACCAGCTTACTGCAGTGTCAGTCCTCAGAACTGTGTGGCCTAGTAGCTTAGGGCAGCAGGTCTCAACCTGTGGGTCGCAACCCCTTTGGGGATCAAAAGACCTTTTCATAGGGGTCGCCTGAATACATCCTACATATCAGATATTTACATTATGATTCATAACAGTAGCAAAATTACAGTTATGAAGTAGCAATGAAAATAAGTTTATGGTTGGGGGGGTCACCACAACATGAGAAACTGTATTAAAGGGTCACGGCATTAGGAAGGTGAGATCCACTGCCTTAGAGGCACTGTCCTTGACAAAGAGAAAGGACTTGTCTTTCTGTCATCTGTGTAGCACTCTGCTAATCAGCGTGCTCAGGCATTTCACATTGGCATTTAGGGGCTTACGCAGGGGTCCTCAAACTTTTTAAACAGGGGCCAGTTCACTGTCCCTCAGACTGTTGGAGGGCAGGACTGCGGGCCCCGGGACGATTTAGCTGCTAAGCAGGACAGGCAGCGATGGCAAAAACACCCAGCAGGCCGGATAAATGTCCTCGGCGGGCTGCATGTGGCCCGTGGGCCATAGTTTGAGGACCCCTGGGCTATAGGAATATCTGACAAAAACAAGACACTCTTGATGATGGTGCTGGATCCCAACTCAGTATGAACTTTCCAAGATAATGAAACATCCACTCGAGGAAAGGGAGTTTTATCAAGCTGTTTGTTCTTTATTCGAAGAATTCCTAGTGACAGTGAAGGACCTGACTGCCCCCTGGTGTCGGTGTCGGTCACAGAAGAGTGGTTGAGGGGAGTGAGGTCTGCTTCTCCCTCTGACCCTAGAGAGGTCCTCAGTTTTATTATCTGTAATGTGAATTGAGGGGTTTAGCGTAATTTCTAAGACCTTTCCAGTTCTAACTTTCTAAGACTAGTTTTCCTGTGTATAAAATAGCAGTAGTACGCCTACTGTACAGAATTGTTAAGGAACCTAATTAAATTCAGCTCACATTTCCTGGGTGCCTACTGTGCATCAGTTACCACACCAGGCTGTTTGACCTGAGTGGGTGTAAAGCATATGTGACAGGTGAAGGGAAAGGGCATAGCCATGGCAGGGACTCTGAAGATGGGACTTGCTCTGGCCTTCAGCTATCCTCTGCCTCTTTGTGTTTATTGTGGGTCACCACTATTACTGAAGTTTGCTTTTAAGCAGTTTTGTTGAGACACAACTTTACTGCCAAGTTTTATAGTTACTGTCATGGGAGAAGAAAATTTATTCAAGTGATAGTGTTTCCATTGGAAGCTCTGGTGAAACAGCAGCAACATGGAAAAGAGCTTGACTTTCCCAGTAGCAATATAAGAAGTGCAAATGAAAGGCTTGACCAAGGCCACAGGGCAAGCCAGAGCTGAGCCCTGAGCCTTTGGACAAAGCGAGATTCTTCATTCTTTTGCTGTCCCCACCACCCGCTCTTGTCTTCTCATTATTAGACCCTGGGAGTCTTGGGGCATTGCTAGTGATCACCATGCTGTGGTATAGGTTTTCTTTTAGTATGTTTAAGAGAAAAATAGTTTTTTTGGTATGTGAGTGGCAGAAAGACAAAAGATGGTCCAAGAGAGTCAGGAATTTCTAGGAAAATGAGTGGTTTGGGGGAACATAAGGCAATATTGTGTGTTGAATATATAAATACATTACATTTGTGTTGAAAGAAGGCAGTGTGGGGTCGGTGCCTGTGGCTCAAAAGAGTAGGGCGCTGGCTCCATATACCAAAGTTGGTGGGTTCAAACCCAGCCCCGGCCAAAAAAAAACTGCAAAAAAAGAAGGAGGAGGAGGCAGTATGACAGCTGTTAGGAGCAGAACCAGCCTGGCCTGATTTGGAGAGATCTTCTGGGGAGAGACATTTTCCTCTAAAGGTGTCAGAGTGCCTCGGACTGGAGACACCAGGCCTAGGCTCTGATGTCACTTCATTGTTTTACCAAATGAGTTTCCCCTTTTAGCAGGACAGTGGCCCTTCAACTGTCCTCTTAATAGGTACTGTATTGCAATTGTAACACTAACTTTTGAAATAACTCCTGCTCTTCTTAAGGGAATCATGCTGGCACAGCCTGGCACCCAGGCTGCTGTTGTGGTTCAAGCTTCTAGAGTGCTTGTGTCAGCTACAAATATTGCTATTGGCAGAGGATCTTTTTTCATTACTTTTTGTAACATAGCATAGTTTATATTTCCCCATTGACCAAAAATCAAGAAGCTTTGAAAAATAAAATTTTAAAACCTTAAAAATAGATCATTAAAAAAAAAAAAAAATAGCTCTTCTACCTGGCCCTTGAATGACCTAACTTGGCAGTGGCTTGAGAAGGCAGGTGTACTGTGCCTTGAAAGCAAATGCTCTCAGCCAGCCACCTACCTGCACTGACCTTGCCTGTCACCTCTATTCTCTTTGCTTTAAATTACTGGTTTCTCCTCCCTTCTGCCTTGGGTTCCTTCTCATCTGTCCCTGGTTTCAGGCAGATGGTGGTGTTGCCCTTTAAGTGAGCAGGGACCCCACCGAATCTGGTCAGTAAGGGATCACTGGGCTGGCTGCCTGCCCTCTGACCAGGGCCATGTGGTTGTAATTTTGTGTATTTTTGTCCACAAGGTGGTGCTCTAGGAAAGCCTGGAAGTTGGCCAGCCTACTTAAAAGATTTACCTACCATGTCTAGGGCAGCCCACTTTACTGTGGTCATAAGAAACTAAATTTGGTTTAAGTCAGTGTGAATTTTTAAAAATCAATAAGTTAATATTTTGTACACACAAAATAAGATGGCAGTGCTTTTTGAGGGGATTTTGTAAACAGAATACCTTACACATATCAGGCGTATGCCTGTGTCCTCTCTTCTCCAGTGTACCTGTGTAACCTTCAAACTTCTTTCAGACCATGTTGGTTTTTTTTCTGTTTTCATTTTAATTCTTTTGAAATGGTCTTAATTCATGTTTATTTTCAGATGTTTTTGGTTGAGGATTTAGGTGTGTGTTTAGGATTTTCTGTTGATTTTTAGGTGTCTGTGATATATCCTTTCAGTCATTGTGACTTGGGTTGGTTAAGTAGCTTGCTCAATTACTCACCTCCTTTTATTCTTACATACCATGAAGCTTAACTAATGTAAGTAGACGGGAGAAATTTTGTTCCCCACAATTAAGGAAGGACTGGTAAAGTGTATATATATACATATATATATATATATATCTTTGGAACAGGTAATTCCATTTTTTTTAATTTAAAATTTCAAAATTCAAATAAAGGTCCTTTGTTCTCAGCCTCTTGTGTGAAGGAACATCTTTTCCCTGACTTCCTCAGTGGGAGGGGACAACAGATCTGTCTGTCAGCAGGCAGTGTGCATTGCACCCATCAGTGGTGCCTGCTGATTGTTTCCAAAGGGTGCCTTCTTCTCATACGCCACCATGTTTCTCTCCACAGACATACAATCTTTGCCAGCAACACTTCCTCTTTACAGATCACCAGCATAGCCAATGCCACCACCAGACAAGACCGATTTGCTGGCCTCCATTTCTTCAATCCAGTGCCCCTGATGAAACTCGTGGAGGTCAGTTCATGTCTGCATGTTCTCCTGGCTTTCTCAGTCCTGCTCTTCTGAGTAACATTGGCCTTGCCACCGAGGATTGCATCACATGGCTTTTAACAGAAGGACAGAAGGCTATCCCTGTGCTTGTTTCTCTTGCCCTAGTCTGTCTTTTTCAGAACAAAAGGAAAACAAAAGTGTCTAATATCTAGGAAGGCCCTTGTGCATTCTTTGCAGCCCTGTTTTGACCAGTGATCTTGAGGAAAGTTGTTAACTTTGTGGGGTGTTATTTATTGATTTGAGCCAGGACTGGTGGGCAGTACTAAGAGGCCTTAGACTGGGAAGGCAGCACTGGCGACCACTGGCTGATGGGACCCTGGGGGATATTGTACATGTGCATGTTTTTTGTCGAGGTCAGTCTGCCCCATGCTGTACAGACTGTGCTGTACTGCCTTTCCCACCATTCCTGTGATGAATTCCAGCCTGTATAACAGCACCTTAGTATTGAACCCCGAGGAGGCGTGTCTCCTGTGTGCTGTGACTGGACCTATTAAACGCAGCTAACCTGGGAGGTGGAGGGAAGAACCAGGGAGGGTTTCCCAGCATTCAGCTTCTGCTCACCTGCCTAGCGTCCCTGCAAGGGAGATGGAGTCACCATAGACCATTTGCACCTGAACTGTGGCAACTTGCCTTTTATAGGGGGCTAATTACAGGGTCTAAGATGTAGCCGCTGTTAAAGTAGCATTTGTTCTGAGGTGGAGGAGTTACTGCCGTGCGAACTGTGGGGGATAAGTGGGGAAGTGGAGCCAGGCAGACCTCCAAAGGCTGGCCAGGCCTCTCTGGGGGTGTGTGTCAGGGACTGACTGGGGGGGATGAGTGGGGAAGTGGAGCCAGGCAGACCAGCAAAGGCTGGCCAGGCTGACCAGGGGGTGTGCATCAGGGTCTGTGCTCTTCACTTCTACCTTCTCCTCCTCCAGATCCCTTTCTTTTCCTTCCTTTATATCTCTTTCACTCATTGTTCCACCCAGCATAAGCTTTATTCCTTTATTTGACAACAACGTCTCGCTCTGTTGCCCAGGCTAAGGTGCAATGGTGCCATCATAGGTCACTCCAACTTCAAATTCCTGGACTTGAGTGATCCTACTCCAGCTTTTCAGGTAGCTGAGAGTACAGGAATATGCTACCACATCCACCTAATTTTTTTACTTTGAGTAGAGATGGGGTCGGTCTTTTGCCCAGGCTGCTCTTTAAACTCCTGACCTCATTGATCCTCTTACTTTGGCCTCCCAGGGTGCTAGGATTATAGGCATGAGCCACTGTGCCTAGCCACAGCATAAGCATTTTTAATAAGTCTCACCAGTTACTACATTTTCTTATAGGGTTTTCTCAAGTGACAACTTGATCACCTTGCAGAGGAAATTGATCTGTCCTATCGTTGCCTCTCAGCTCCTTCAGATTTTCTCCCATTTTCTAAAGCTGTTTGTTTATTTGTTTTTTGAAACAGTCTCAATCTCTTACCCTGGGTAGAGTGCTGTGGTGTCATAGCTCCCAGCAACCTTAACTTCCTGGGTTCAAGTGATCCTCCTGCCTCAGACTTCCAGGTAGCTGGGCCTATAGATGCCAGCCACAATGCCCAGCTAGTGTTTTCTATTTTTAATAGAGACGAGGTCTTGCTCTTGTTCCGGCTGGTCTTGAACTCAAGTCTAGCCTGAGCAAGAACAAGACCTCGTCTCTACTAAATCTACCAGCTTGGCCTCCCAGAGTGTTAGGATTATAGGCGTGAGCCACCATGCCCACCTCTCTAAAGCTGTTTTTGAAGAAGTTAAGTAATGAAGAGCAGGAGTTCTGGAAACAGAAGAAACATTTATCCTTATGAAGAAAAAAAACAAAGGAACAACATGGAGTTTTCAACATTTCAGTACTTAGAGACTAAATAATTGCTTTAGTCACTATATCATGTACACAGTGTTCTGGAGATAAGGTGCCATTCTATAGATTTATTTTGATAATGTTGTTTTCAACTACATTTATCTGTTGATGCCTGCCTTTGTCTTTGGAGATATAGCATGTTAGTTGTTAATGGCTAATGCTTAGCAAATGTTATCATTTTCTAGAAAATGTACCTTTTTTTTTTTTTTTTTTTTTTGAGACAGAACCTCCCTGGATAGAGGTGTCATAGGTCACAGCAAACTCAAACTTTTGGGCTCACATGATCCTCTTGCCTCCCCAAGTAGCTGGAACTACAGGTGCCTGCCATAACATCCAGCTATTTTTTAGAGATGGGGTCTCACTTTGCTTAGGTTGGTCTCGAACTCCTGAGCTCAGATGATCCACCTGCCTCCCAGAGTGCTAGGATTACAGGCGTGAGCCACCATTCCCAGCCTCTGAGGAAGACTTCTTAGACTTGTTTTCAAATGGCTCTGGACTGCCGTTTGATCTGTGGTCCCACAACAGCTTCTGGTAACATCTTGCCATCCTGCTACTCCTCTCCAGCTCCATGGTGCTTTTTTGTATTTCCCCTCATTCAACTCCCCTAGTGTCATAACATGGTACTTGTGCGTGGACCCAGACAGGGGGTAAGGTATGACCATGGCAGCTTGGCCAAGGTGGCAGCCAGGGCCATAGTTGTCTACCTGGGCCATAGTTGTCTTGGGATCTGATCACATTAAAACACAAGTGAGAGCTCTCTTTGTTTACAAGCACCTTTCATCCCTGTGCGGACAGTGGCTCCTTAGCTCATTAAACCAGATGGCCCTCCTACTAGGGGAGGATGTGTCAAATGTCATGATCCCCATTTCATAGAAGGGAGGGGAGGCACTTGCCTCAGATCACATAAAGGGTCTGAAGTTGAAGTTGTTTGCTTTGACTCTGGTTGAAGTTCTTTACTGGCACTTAAGTTTTGTACACACACACAGGGTGCAAAAATGTATATACATATTTTAAGAAAGGAAAAAACTATATTGTAATACTCAGCATATATTGATAACAAAAGATGAATGCAAGTCACATTGAGCACCTCTGGTAATTGCAGAAGTCAAATGTTTTACATTTAAATTGTTTGACAATTTAATATAGTTTTATTACATTTGTATTACAAATTTAATGCATTTTTTCCCTTACAGTGTGCATAAGTATTTTCGCATCCTCTATATTTTATATATATATATATATATTTAAATATATGAATATAAAGTTTAAATTCTCCCGTGTCTTTTCCTTTACCAAAGTCTAACTTCAGTAGATGAATTCTCTGAATGTCTCCTGAGGGGCCAGCAGTGCCAAGCATTCTGCTCAATGCCATCTCCCGTAGATGCCATTGAGGGGGCAGCTGTGTGCCTGCCTGTGCTTCCTCCCTTGCCACTCAGGTGGGTTGCAGGAGCAGGGGGCAGCCCCTGGCTGCAGTCATGTCAGTGCAGGCCGCCCTTTTCAGGGCCATTGGTCTCTGGGACATCTGTGTGCGAGAGCATGGGGACGTGGGAGGGGAAGTCATGTATATGACTTGGGTGCATGGGGCTCTTTCTCCTTGTCTATGATAGGAGAGGGTGGGGTTCCTGCAGAGAATGTTAAGGGCCATCACCATGTCCTCCTCTACTTGGGTTACCTTGCTGAAGTCATTGACAAAGGCAAGTAAAACAGTAAAAGCAGCGCTTCCCGAGTGAGCACTTCCTACCTCTCAGGGGCTGCACTTGGCCTTTACCCCCAATCAGGGTTCATTCTCACCTCAACTTTTTGAGCTGGAAAGAGTGATCTCAGTGTCATTTAGATTTCAAGAAACATGCCCAAAGTCACACAGCCTGTGGGTAGTATAATTGAACCTAGGTCTGTCTCAGCCATGAAGTCTGTAAAACTGCCCTACACACTCGCGATCCTTGCTTTTGTACATTCTGCAGTACTGCGTTGTCTCAAAAGGGACATTGTGGGAAATATTTTGATTCTGACTTGAGATCCCCATTTCTGTGCTGAAACTAAAATTATTTTTGTCACCTGTATGGACCCGTTTGATTAATGTTTCTTTGAATCATCCTACTGAAGTCTTTACTTTGCCTTTCCAGGTCATTAAAACACCGATGACCAGCCAGAAGACATTTGAATCTCTGGTAGACTTCAGCAAGGCTCTGGGAAAGCATCCTGTTTCTTGCAAGGTAGAGGATGGGTAGCTTGGGAGGGAGGTGATTTTTCCTGGACCTGACTTATTCAGGAGAGGGGTGTGGGCCTGGTACCTGTCCTTTCTCTCTGCTCTGCTGCCCAGGCTGGCCCCACCCAGAATGAATGAAAATCACATTCATGGCATGGTTGCACAGAGATGTTGTGGTTGCACTTTCTTACCCAGTTATGCTTTATTAGTGGAAGAAAGTAATAGTATTAGAAAGAACATCAGTCAGAGGCAAAAAGATAAAGAAATGGAAGTGTAGGAGAAAACTAATAATTATCTCTAGCAGCATAATCATTAATTCATGGAGAGTGATGGTTCATTTTTCCATCATAATGGCCACAGCAGCTGCAAGGATGGGAACTTTTTGTCTCATAAAATTGTCCTTGTTCGATCATCCCAGAACTCTTTCTCTGTATGATATTTTAGGGCTTCCTGGGGCAGTTATTTAAGCTCTTAATGAAGCATCAGACGATATATGGCAACCACATTAGACAGGGGTTGGCAAACCTTTCTGTAGAGGCCCAGATAGTAAATATTTTAGGTCATACAGTCTCTGTTGGAACTACTCAATTCTGTTGTTGTGACCTGAAAGCAGCTATAGAGTGTGGCTGTGATTAAGTAAAACTGTATTTGCAAAAATAGGCTGCGGGTTGGATTTGGCCCATAATATTATACTTTACCAATACCTGACACAGAAGAATGACGCTAGTGTTTCTGGAATGTGTTTTCATAATAAAATTTCTTTTTTTTTTTTTGAGACAGAGCCTTATGCTGTCCCCCTGGGTAGAGTGCTGTGGTATCACAGCTCACAGCAACCTCCAACTCCTGGGCTCAAGCGAGTCTCCTGCCTCAGCTTCCCAAGTAGCTGGGACCACAGGCGCCCGCCACAATGCCTGGCTATTTTTTGGTTGTGGCCATCATTGTTTGGCAGGCCCGGGCTGGATTCGAACTCGCCACCTTAGGTGTATGTGGCTGGCGCCTTAGCCACTTGAGCTACAGGTGCGGAGCCTTCATAATAAAATTTCATGGGAAGATAGTGGGATGGACTAGCTCCACTAGGTGCAAATCCGGGCTTTGGCATTTCTTAGATGTGTGATCTTGGGCAAGTTACTTAACCTCTCTGTGCCTCAGTGTCCTGATGCCTCACATAGGGGTAATAATAGTACCTATCTCACGGGGTTATTATAAGGAATAAATGAATTAATACTGTAAAGTACGTAGACTAGTACCTGGCACATAGTAAGTGCAGTAAATAACATACTTAATAAATAAAAGTCTGAAAAATGTAAGGGGTACAATCACATAAAACTAAATTGCTTTCTTAAAGGAGAATGTCTCTTTATGTTCCGCCAACATTCTGAGAGTATCTGTCTCTCTGCGTCCTCAACAGGATCGACTTTTATAATTGGGAAGAAACTCATGTGAATCTTATCAGCAAAAATGCTGTTTTGTTCTAATGACTTTCTTTGATTACTAGTGAGCTTAAATTTGTGAGTTTTAGCACTTTTTCCTTATGAACTCTAGGAGCTCTTTCTGTAGTGAAAAATGACTATTATAATTGAAATCTGTATTTTTCTCAGGCTGCTTTCTGACTTTTAACCTTACATATGTTATGCTTCACATCCTCAGGTATCTTATCCTGAGTTTCTGTGGTTGCTTGAGAGAAAGCCAGTATGCAGAGACAGCAGGGTTTACAGCAGAGAAGGTGTTTACTCTGCATAGCACTAAGTGGGAAGACACAAGGAATTTCTCAATTCCACCTCCCCAAGAATGTGGAGACAGAGTTTTTCTTTTATTTTTATTTTTTACTTCAGAATATTGGGGGATACACTTTTTGTTTACAGACTTTGTTTCTGTGCAGATTGAGTCAAAGTTATACATGTCATGGGTGCCCTTCAGATAGGGTGCACTACACACAGTAGGTGTGGATTTATCCAGCCCCCAAACTTGATTTTCATTGAGATTTACTTCCGTATGCACACTGACACTTTGCTGATGGGTCCCAGGGTCACCAGTTAACTCATGTTTGCACTTGGATTAGCTATTGCAGTTTTTAAAACATGGGGTAATGTAGGATATTGTAAGACCTTTCTTGGTTGTGTCACCAGAATAATAATAGCTGGTGACATGGGATAGCTTCTGTGGGCAATAGTGTCTTAAGTGCTGATCAGTTAGTTCCAGTTTGGTATTAAGTACATGTGTTTGTTTCTCTACTCTTGTGATGTTTCACTTAGAAGAATGATTTCTAGTTCCCTCCATGTTGTCCAAAACATACTAGATTGCTATTCTTTTTAATGGCTAAGTAGTACTCCATAGTATGTTTACAAGGCATTTTATTAATCCATTCATATATTGGTGGGCACTTGGGTTGTTTTCACGTCTTGGTGATTGTGAATTGTGCTGCTATAAACATTCGAGTGCAGGTGTCCTTTTTATAAAATGAGCTTTTTTCCTTTGGCTATTTATCCAGCAGTGGGATTGCTAGGTCAAATGGTAGGTCTCCTTTAAGTTGTTTGAGGTATCTCCATACAATTTTCCATAGAAAATTTGTACCAGTTTACACAGAGGTTGCAACAGTGTGTAAGAGCTCCTTTCTTTCCACATCCACACCGGCATCTGTTGTTTTGTGACATATTATGAGCCATTCTCACTGGAGCTGGGTAATATCTCATTGTGGTTTCCATTCACATTTCACTAATGATTAGAGATGTTGAGCATTTTTTTCATGAGTTTGGCCATTAGTATAGCTTCATTTCAAAAGTTTCCATTCATGTCTTTTGCTCACTTTTTGATGGGGTTGTTTGATTGTTTCTTGCTAATTTGCTTGAGTTCTTTGTAGATTCTGGTCATCAGTCCTTAATCAGATGTATAGCATACAATATTTTCTCCCATTTTATGAGTTGTCTAATTGCTCTTTTGATTATGTCCTTGGCTGTGCAGAAGCTTTTTAATTTTATCAGGTCCCATTTATTTATTTTTGTTGTTGTGATTGTTTGGGGGGTCTTCTTCATGAATGCTTTGCCTAGGCCTATATCTATAAGAGTTTTTCCAGCATTTTCTGCCTTAGGCTTAAGTCTTTTATCCATGGTTGAGTCAATTAGTCAATTTTTGTGAGCTGTCAGAGGTGCAGATCCTGTTTCAGTCTTTTACATGTGGCTATCCAGTTTTCCCAGCACCATTTATTAAAATAGGGATTTTTTTCCCCCAGTGTATGTTTTTATCTGTTTTGTCAAAAATCAGATGGGAATATGGAGATGATTTCATCTCTAGGTTCTCTGTTTTGATCCATAGGTCTATGTCTGTTTTTGTGCCGGTACAGTGTTGTTTTGGTTATAGCCAAGCTATAGTATAGCTTGAAGTCCAGTAAAGCAATGCCTCCTTCTTTGTTCTTATTTACGCCATGG